ATCTCTGCAGTTGCACTGTTTTGGGAATACAGAGATATAACAATAACAGCAGAAGCATATTAAAATACATATGCATATATTGTATCTTCTAGTAGACAGACCATGAAGCTGGTAAAGAAAATCTGAAAGAAATGTCACTCTTTGTATTCTACCAAGCAGCAAACTGGTTAAATGATATAACTGAGACAGATGGCGAGAAAGGTTTCTAGGAGAGCTCACAACAAACAACCAACATGAAAATATGCTGTGGGTACTCTTCAGTAGACTTATTTACCATCCTCCTGCTTCCCTCTAAGTGTTACATGACCACCTGCTGTGTCTTCTCTTAAAACACGTAGAACACTGGCATCTGTGTGTAAATTAATGTAGCTGAATAATTTATCTCAATTCATGGATGTCAAATTAGGTGATTTAAAATTTTCTGGATTAGGGTATAATTCTACAGTTTAGGGTGGTTTTGCTCTTATCTATTGGGCAGTGCTATGCACAATTCTGTAATGAAGTCTCAGCATCTGCACCATGGATATTGCAATTCAGCTGTGCGTGCATACCACCAGTGATGTGGAATTATAGCAGGGTGGCTTTTTGTTTTTAATTTCTGCCCTGTGTGCTTTAAACACACTGTGGACAGGAAAACCTTATTAGCTTATCTACACAGATGCATCAAGGACAGGCTGCTGGCTTTTGGGCTGGGGAAAAAAAAAGATTATTATTCAGATATACACATTCTTTTACATCATGTCCTATATTCAATGTTGATAGTTATCCAGCACATTTCAATGTAGCACAGTCAAAGGATATATGGACTCAAAATGTAAAAACACTTTTAGAAATGGTATCAGAAAAATAATTTTGAACACAGTGAACATTTTTAGGAGAACCCTTTTAGGAGTGGGACTGGTAGAAGACTGGTAGAAAAAAGAGCAGGGAGTAGAGATCTTTGGCTTTCTGTTTGTCCTCTACCAGGGAGGAAAAATAACAGTGTCACTAGGACAAGTAATACAAAAAAAAAAGGTTGGTGTTTTTCCTTTTTTTGCTCTTTAAATATGTGGCTTTGTGTATCATCCATTAAGCAGGCAAAAATGTTACTTAAAGACCTCTGGAGTCTTGAGCAGTTGAGTAGATAAAGTGCTGTCAAACAAGGCAGGGGATAACATGGCATTGACTGAGTTTTAACTTGAATCTTCACATCCTGTGGCAGCAACGATGACCAGTCCTTACAGACATTCAGCCCTGGGTTCCCATCAGCGACATTTGCCCCCTGTGTGAAGCCTTTGTGACTCTTACATTACCTGTTCTGCCTTCTTGGAAGATAAAATCTGCAGAATAATTATGTGGCTGGGTATCCTAAAATTTCCCTCAAGCCTTACAGTCTCTGCACCACACTTTAATCATTTCCTGCTTAAAATAGTCTAGAAGTGGCTATGATTAAAATTAGTAGACCATGGTATTTTGTCTTTCTTTATTACGATGTCAGGTTACTGACCCTTCAGTAACTGCCCAGCTGGGATTTTTGTAATGTCCTGATATGTGAAAAAAGTGTTTGTTGCTGTTGTTTTGATACCATGACTTCAGAGTGAATTTCTTTCTATGATTATAAATACACACTATCTAAAAATCAGTTCCAGTGTAGGATTGACCTAATCTGATTGAAGGAAAAATTGAGGCTAAAGTTTATCTTAGAATGCTGGAGGAAATTTGGTAAGAATGAAGGAATTCCTTTCTAACATCGAGGAACATTTTAAGAACATGTAATTTAACTCAAGGACATTGTGGAACAGTGAGCCCACTGATACCAGTAGAGTTTGATTGATGTGGACTTATTCTAGTGATGATGTGAAGAATGTAGCAACCACCATTTTTGCAAACCTCGAATGGATTTGACTGGTTTTGGTAGAGGACGGTGCTCAGAGACTGTAATTCTGACCAGCTTTGGTGAAAAAGGTTCATCTGAGGAGGGGGAGAGTGGAACACAGTGGCAGAAACTAACCAAGGAACAAATACAATCCAAAGCTTTTCTGCTAATTTATGTAAAATTTATTAAAAGTTTTCAGTAAAAAGTTTAAGCAAGTGATCAAGCAATTAAAGAATTCTGCTACTGTATTTTTTAAAAAATCCAAAAAGCCCAAACTGTTTGAGCTTTTAATTTGAAATATTTCTCAATGCTCTTCAACTGTCAAACATTAAACTAAAAAAAGATTGCCAATTAGGAGACCAGCATGAAATAGTTTTTACTCTGAATATTTTTTCCCGTGCAAGTTAGATTTTTGAACTCTAATTATGCCACAGTTTGCATGCTTAGCACATAAATGAATCATGATGTGGCTGAATTCAAAACTTGAAGAGCTCACTTGAGAAAGACTGAGCTTGATAAGCATGTTTAAGCCTAATACTGTTATGGGTTTCTCATAAATAGAATTAAACCTAAACCTCTGAGGTATTTTACAGTCATCCTTTCAAAGGTTTCCGAATGCTTTTCTAACAACAGTAATAAAGTAATCCTAAAACACATTTATGAGTTACTTGTCTACAGAAAAAGTTAATACTTTTCAAAGCAAAATTGACTTTCTCAAGGTCAGAGAGCAAACCTGTGGGAGTGGGAGCAAAAGAAGCCATTCACTGCACCTTTGCCATAGATGGGTCTGCTCATCAGGCTGTATCCATGGCACTGGGCCGGGATAGTTAAAAGCAGTGTACAGATGTTGCCAACTGATCAACTCCCAGTGCTAGAGGTAGAAAACACTTCCAAATTTAGCTAAAGCAATAAAATGTTCCAGTTGCACACTTTGCAGTTGTCTGTTATAACCCTGAGGTTATGATGAATATTCTTATGCAAAATGTTCTGTCAACAACTACACCATCCTCTGGCACTTGGCCATTCTTGCTGTTAATTCTGCTATCTATGCACAAAGACACATTACAGGAAGATTAATATTTTTCTGACTGATAAAGCCTCTTAAGTGTGAGGCCAGCGACCAGCTAGGGCAGCCTGTTCAGATCCATTACCCACACTATGCTGAGATGTGTAAGAATTAACCAGTCCTTTTGCATGGACCTTAAACAAATTCAAAGGCTGGAAGAAGCCTTTGAATTCATAGCTTGGAAGAAAAGTAACATGCTAGCCTGAATAAAGTGGAATGAAAAAAACCTCCTACGTTTAAGAAAGGAGAAAAAGTAGGGACGATAGCTGACATGTACTACATGGCAACAGAGAATGGGGATATTCACAAAAGCTAGCTTAAACCTGGTGAAGTTAATGAGTAAGGCACTTTTTTTAGCTAAAAGACAGATACAAATTCCTCTTTTGGGGTGACTTCTAGCAGAAATTAAACTTAGTCATCATTATGAAGGAACTAAGGCAGTGTAGCTTCCCTTTGTGAGTCTTGTCCTTCCCTTAATCTCTGCTACAGAATTTCTATAATAGGGTTTTATTAACTTGTTTTCTTGGAGTCATGTTTGCATATTTCCACAAAAATGTCCTTACTTGATCCCTCTGACATTTTACAGGAAAACATAAATGTATGAAAAAAGGAACTCACAGCCTCCTTTCTCATAAGAGCTGCATGCCCTGTTCCCAAAAGAAAGAACTCAGCTGCAGTAGCCCAAGTGGAACGGAACATCAGCAGCATTTCACCACACCAGCTTCCAAACTTAGGCCTCTAGAGATTTTAATAGAACAGTTGAACTAGAAATGATTAATTTATGAGCATCATTTACCCTAAATTGGCAGGGAAGTGTGAAGTAAAACTCCACTTGGATTTACTCTCCAGGCGATCTCAAAGCCTTGACAGAACCTGGAGTTTGAGTCGGCAGGAGGGCTGCTCCTTCCAACAGGTTTGGAATTTCACCCTCTGATTTTGGGTTTGGTGTTTGGAAGCATGCTGGTTAAAATATTTCTTTCCATCTGTCCATGGTTAGGTAATACTGAAAGTTTGTAGCAAATCTTTCAAGAAATAAAACTCTGGTAGGGAAAGGAAATTAAAAAAGCTGGGATTATCAGTACGGAGCTGACAGAACACGTCTTACCATGTTAACCAAAAAATACATGCTTTATAAATTATGACTGCCTGCAAATAATTTGGAGACATGATACATCAGAATCTCTTTCAAGCAGCTTTTGAATTAATTTTTCTCTAACCCTGCAAGTCAGTTAGTATCATCCCAATATTCTACCAATTAAACACCCTTGAGTCAAAGTGATTTTCTGATCCTGAAGTAAAATTACATGGGATAACCATCAGCAATCTGTAATAATGTTAATATATCGAATCCATTACAGTTTGTTTTGTACAAATAACAACTTGTTGCAAAGAAAGAAGAAAAATATTAACATAAACAAAAAAATGGCACCTGAAACTTAATTTCTAAATTTGAATTTAAAAAAAAAATTATGATCCTAAAAATGAAGAAAGATAACACAGAGTGTCTTCTGGAGGGAGAATTTGGAGACGATACTTGTTGTTTACAGCAATATTTTGACTTCTTATAAAAGCTGGCTTGGAAACTGTTTTTCTTCCAAAATCAAGAACAATCCACATTAGGTGTTAAAAGTACTCATACTAGAAACAAGTGACCTAGCAGAAGAGACTATCCAGAATTTTTTCTTGTAAAAGCAAATGAAATCTTGGTAAGTGATAAAAATGTAATAGGAAAAAGCATACTAATTTTTTTGTTGGGTGATTCTTTGGAGTAAACAAAATTCATCTTAATCTCTTTACAAAGGAAACCTCAGACAATCTTTCCGCAAATTAGTGGGTGAGCCAATTACCACAATGAAAAGAATTAATAAAAAATAATTTTGATTTAAAAAACCCCTCTATCTCTTTAGGTACACAAAATTAAAAACATAATATATATGTGGAAGTCTGCCTCTAATTTATTCAGCAGTTTTGTTAGGAAAAACTTCCTGCATACTTGCTCAAAATATTAAGTACCTTCTATACTAACAAGTTTAAAGCTTATCAGATAAAGGAATAATGGAAAAAAGCCTCAATACTCACATTCAGTTTTAAGCTCCTTCTCTTGGTAACTTGCACAGCAAAATAAAGGAAGAAATAATTACACGTCTTCACAGAAACAAGCATTTATCAAGTCCAAAAGAAACAGAACACTTTGCCAGAGCTATTTGAGGGTCCCATCAGAATTTGCCTGGATGGGGGAAGGCTGAGGGTCAGTTTGTTTCCCTTAGACCTCATGACATGCAAATATCTGGCTGCCTCGCCTCTGAATCAAATCATTCTTTGACATACTGTGTTTACAAATGGCAAATACATACCATGTAGGAGGTTCTTAAAGGAACATATTTCTGAGAGCTCTCAAAAAAAAAAGGCATTTCTGTTAAAAGACAAAACTGTTCAGTTCAAGGGCAAAAAGAAAGTAAGAGGGAACATTATTTGTCCCCAGATACACACTGGTTGATGCATAATGAATCCAAAAGGCCTCATGTGGGCTTGTAAATCAGATAAGAAAAAGAAAAGTTGCAATTACTAAAGTCTGATTGTTGTGCACAGGACACAATCTCGGGGAGGGGGGGTGGCAGGGAAAAAATCTCCTCTAGTTTTAGGAAAGTCATTCAGGGACACAGCAGAACTCAAAATCCTGACATGCCTTAAGAATTTTCTGTGTTGTTATAATTTTGCTGCTTTCCACCAGGTGGGACGGTGTTTATGAGGATTACTATCAGTGTGGTAGAAATGGACTCCTCTAGGCTTTCTCTCAGTATTTCCCAGTATTTCTGGCTTTTGAGTCACTTCCTTTACTTTCTACTTGGGCCCAATAGGGGCCAGTTTTCACAGACAGGCTCCTGCATTCACAGGTCCTTATATTTGCATACAATTCTATGCTGTTCCTTAACCAAATGCACCTGAAAGTAGAATATTGTGTCCATTTAAAAAAGCAGACTGAAGTTGGGCAGAATGAAGAAAGGATGGCTGCTTGCAGTATGAACCACAACTGACCTCAAGGCAGATTTTCCACAACCAAGAGCCAATAGATCTAAATCACTTGGTCTACAATGTCAAATGGGTGGGAGCTGTTCAGTATCACAGATAGAAGAAAGAAGGAAATGTTTGAATGGTTTGAATATGTATTACGTTATGAGTACTTTGGTAAAATTGCCAAATCTGGACATTCTCTGGAGGCTATCTGTGTCTAGATAGTGTCTCACAGTTAAGACTGATCCCCTGACTACTACTGCCAAGACCTGATGTTCTACAAGCTGTAGAACTGTAGTCTTGTTAAATCTCTCCAGACATGCAGTCATTACTTAAACAAGACTGATCTCTTTCCTCCTATTTTAATTTGTGCTACAAGCTTTATTTATACCAAGCACCTTTCATTTCAAGACTGTGATTTTAGCAGATTGAGGAGAGGAACGGTTAGGTGTGAATTTGAGTCTAGAACAAGAATCGTAAATAGTTTTCTCTTGTCTTCCTTACAGAAAGAAAAAAACCCCTGATAGTATAGTTCTTAACCAAGTACCTTTTCAAGTTCATAAATCAGATCCAGACAGAAGTATTTCTCAAGCAGATCTGTTGAGAGAGCTAATGACACTTAGAAATACTAACACAGTATGTTCTTGCCATCAAGGATAAGAAGTTCAGACATGTCCTATAGCACTTTTCTTATGCTTCAAAGACTACCGTCAAATTTGTCTAAGCTGTAAACAGAGATAACAAGCCTAGATAAACATCTAAAACAGAATCAGGGTTTTTCCCAACAGGTACAAATTAAGTACAAATGAGGAGGTCAGCAAAATCCTGTTTCTCTGGACTATCAATTAGAAGATGTCTCTTACAGCTCCTGCAGCACTTCTTGAACTTCCTGAAATACAAAGCAGCTTATTTTATCTGTCTCACAACATGACCGGTCTTAACCTACCTTCTTCTTCATGTTGAAGGTTTGGGAAATTCATCAAGCAAATGGTGGTTCTCCTTAAACTACTTGGGTTTCTTGTTCCAATTTAGAATATTCGTAGTTTAAAAAACAAAATCACATTCCTCAACAATTCCTAAAGAAAAACCTTGTTTCCCTGACAAAATATCTTGCTCTTATATTCCTCTCTAAGCACCCACTTTGGCCTCTGCTGGAGACACAATTCTAGTCTACACTGACCTTCAGTCTGACCCACCACAGTCACTCTTTTGTCATCTGCAAGAATATTAAACTTCCTGTTAAACAAGAAACCCCAATGTACCCATATTTGTAGAAATTTCCATTTCCTTGGCCTACTGTTACTTAGTAGGAAAAACATTTTAGGAGAAACCACTGCTTGAATAGCCTTACTTGAGCCTACAGAGAACAGAACTACTCAAGTTTTATCCGAATGAGCTCTCAGATGGATTCACGCTGACAAAAAAACCCACTGATATTATTTAGAAACCTGTACCAAATTTTTTTAGAAGCTGCAAGAATTTCAATGAAGAGTTGAAAGTTCTAACAGAGCAACAATTTGCTCAGTTCCAGCAGATCTGCAAGACTTTGCCATTTAAAAAGAAGGAAATGCAAGGCTGAAACAGGTATTCCTTTACCTAGACAGCATAAGTGAAGGTGAGTGGCTGACTAACACTGGAAACCAGAGTAAAAGTGTTAATTTGTAGTGCCTTTCATTTTCCTAGACATTCCAAAGGACATTTTTGTTTTGTAAACTGCACCTCTAATTTGTAAGACAAGATTATTCTCTCTTACACATACATTCATCCTAGGTAGCGGAAAAAACCCTGTGAATTAACAAAACTCCTTATTTTTCTTTCAGAATATATACTTCCATATCATAAGCTAAAGACTGAATTTCCAAATCAAGAAAAAAATTGGAAAATCTGGGACAGTTTTCCAACCATGTCTCCTTGAATTCTGTTAGTAGCTAGAAGACATTGCTGAACTGTAGTGTTTCCATTGTATCTACTTCAAAGAATCTATTTTTTTATTCCTTCTTATAACATAGGCTGGAATATAGCAAATTGAACACATGATGAAGTGATTTCTGTAGTAAGTTCATTATCATATCAGCATAAAACTGTATCAAACAGAAATACAGGGACACTCAGAACCATGTGTTAAGTCTAACAGTGCATATGACCTATTGCTGTTTGAAAGCTGCAAGTTGCAAGATGATCAAACACTGCTGAAGTCAACAGAATGCTCTTCAAACACTTCATAATTTAATGTTATTAAAATAATTTCTTACTTGCATACAGACTTTCATATAGCATATTATTTACAAAAGAGCTCAACATCATATAAAATTGTTTACATTCAATTATTGGAACTTATTAATTATTCTGGCTAAATAACATGAAATCAAACTTATTCCTGGTATACAAACTATTTCTTAAACAAAGTTCAACAACCTGAATATTTGCTGTCTTTTATTCCCCACTGTCTTTTACTTTCAGCTGTTATAACCTCCCGCCAAGGAAAGAGAAACAACTACCTTTGCTTCTGCCTTAAAATTCCAAACTGTTCTTGCCTCATGGCTGATAAAAGATCAGCATTGGCATGAACATTGTAAAACATTAATGCCTTTTAAATATGTATAAAATTATATTGTTTACATCACCAAAATTACCATAACATTTGTTACTCTGTTACTGGGGTTCCATACCTGGCCTCTTTAACTTCCAGTTGTTTCAATTTCAGGCTTGGATATGTTTATGATTAAGCTCACAAGAATATGAGTTGTTGAAAACAGAAAACTTGAATGGAGCAAAATCTGCACAAAATTTGCTCTCTTTGAGCACTAATTTTGGCAAGGATGGGTGAATGACATTTTTAGTGAAAGGAGTTTTTCATCTCTTATTACTCAACTTTGATGTTATGCAAACCCCCTCACAACACTACATACATGAAATCAATGGGTATTACTGAAGTAATAGAATTTAGATATTTTGAGGATTTTATTTTGAAAATCATCTCTTAAAAATAAATTTAGAAGTATATCTGCCATACAAGAATTATGGCATTAATAGTGAAAGAAATCAGTTTTTCACATTTTTTGTATTTTCCTGAAGACATAAAGTACTGTTCATGTAAAAATAAGGCTCACAAAAAACTTGAGAGAAGCTATATTTCTGTCTATGAAGTTTATGTAGAAAGATCATGAACTGAATAATTTTCAAAAAACTCAGGATAAACAACACCACAAATTCTTTCAACAGCTGACAGAAAGCAAATATTATTATCTGCTATGGGAAGTGGACTAAACAATCAAGAAGTCTGCTGAATAAACACATGGCATGTACAGTATGGCAAGTGTAACAGGATTTATCTGCTCCCAAAATGCCAATGCAAAAGAGAGTCACCTTTTCTGAATTAAAAGTTTTAAATGAACAGCTATTTCAGACATTAGCAGAATATCACACAGTATCAGTGTGCTGATGTTCATGAACTTGAATGTTCATGAAACTCACACTAGTAGTGGGTCACTTCCCTGAAGTTTATCAATATCCACTCATACTCAAATTGTTTTTACTGTTGCAGACCAATGAACAGAAACTGAAAACATCCACTAATGATACCAGAGTAAAGGCCTTTGCTGCTGTGCTGCTATGTATCAGAGTATGTTTTAAAACTAGTATTTGAAATCAAGATAGACAAGTCTATATGCAATCCTTTCTCACAACAAATCCAAATCAGAGAAGTAAAACTATCAGCCTGTGTGTGTATGGAAAGAAATACACTGTTATTTGAAAAATAATTTCTTGAGGTTTCACATGAGGATGCCAATAAAAACCCACTGATTTTGTACCCAAAGCATCCACAACCGTGTTCTGCCATGTCTACATTAATGTGTGTTAAAAGTACGCTGTAGAAGTAACAAAATTACATTTGCTACTATCACCCAGCAACTGTGTTCCCTGGCTGTGATTTGCAAACTGCTAGAGGCCAAATTTAAAATCTATCAAGCATTTTCTGTTGTCCCTTTCTTTCAGTATAAAAGAAAATAAAGTCTGACTCTATCATGGAGGTGAATGCACTGAATAACAGTTTTATTCCTCTGTTACAGAAAATTTTCTAGGTCTGAGAACAACATCTTTGATAGAGGTAGTTAATTC